CACAAGTTCCATGTGTCCTCAAGCCTTGTAGCAAAGTGAATTCCTGCATCTCTGTGGACCCCAGATCTAAAACTCTCTCCTGATGAAGGGCTCTAGGAAATATATTTTCTTCCAGAAATCCTGCCAGCTGTTGAGGGATGCCATGAAACCCACAGCTAGCAAAGGGATGTTTGTAAAGCACAGATGGGCCCCATAAAGCAGATGCTTGCAGCAACCAGATCCCTAGAGTTGCTGAGGGAACACCTGACTCCTGGGCTATGGTGCCTAGCTATGCTGGCAGTACAGGGTGTGTGCTGGGCGCTAATAGTGCAGGGTGAATGCTGAATAGGTGACTCATCTGGGCACTCAAAAGTGCACTGTGTGGCAGTGCTGTTTCTTTCTCTATACTGTAGACTAGTAAATACAGACACCTGAGAGAATTTGAATCCATGCAGATGTCCTTGTGTAGAGTAAGTTTGCTCTGAGTGCATCTACAGGGCTCAGATCCAAGAATGAGGAAGGTTCAGATGGACACAAGAAGCAGCTCTGTGCCTGGCTCATCAGGCCATGGTTCTTTTGCATGTGTCTAAGTACCTTAAAAAGGTTCTGTGCCTGTTCCATTTTCTTTGCTTCCTTTTCTTTTTTCTTTTTTTTATTTTATGGCCACAATATTGTTCCCACCTGATTTTGGAAAAGTAGCTATGAAAACATCGCTGTCTCTGATTTCAAATGTCTCCAGGGAATCTATGTACTCAGGTGTACTAATACTTTTGGCAAAATAAACTCCTTTGTGGTTGAATACATAGTCTTTGGAGGGTTCCATTTTGTCTCTTACAAATGGATAACCTGCAATGAGAAAACATAGATACACTTTTTACTTGTGTTGTCATCCTACAGAAAACTAATCAATAAATAAATAGAATAAAAGTGTAATTCAAGCAAAAAGAATCCACTGCCAGGCACAAGATATATTTCAAAAAAATCCCTGAAGAAGAATGCACAGAAATGTAGCTTTCAAATAGCCACAACTCTATTGCAAATGATACAATCCTCATGAGAAGAAAGAGCAAAACAAGCATGGCCCCTACTCCTTCACACGTGCAGGCTACATAGAGATACAAACAGATGTAAAGGAAAAGGAGCCTATGTAAAAATCACTTGTCAAAGCTGCTTCAGAATCTCAGGGATCATAACGTTTTCCTTGGGGTGTCCCCAACTCTTCAAGAGAGCTAGCATAAGCATCACAGCCCCACGCCACCCCCAAGCATGAAGCTCCGGCCACCCCCACCCACACATGCGCCACCCGCGCAGCCCCCACGGTGCCTTCCCCTTCCCTGAGGAGAGGAGAGGGGCCAGGGCAGAACCAAGCCGCGCTGTCTCCATGGTGCTGCCCGCCATGGCCCCTCCCAGCCATGGTCTCGGTCTGAGCTGCCCCGGGTGCCCAGAGCTCCCATCACTGAGGTGGGATTTGTTGTGCACAGCGGGGGCTTCCTCCCCCTTGGGATTCCTGACTCAAAAGCGGACAGATGGGAGAGCAAGAGGACAATCCCACTCCGGGCAGACACCAAAGGATGGGAAAGGGGTCTCGCAGGTGCCTGAACCAAGGCAGGTGCCAGGCTGCCTCTGTCACAGACAGACCCACAGCCATGTGAGGACGCACAGACGTCCTTCAGTCCCGTTGTGTGGCCGAGACTGCAGCAGACCCTGGTGCCAAGAGGTCCTCACAGACATGGCAACCCCAGCTTGAGCTCACACCTATGTCTCTGATTTGTGGGGACGATCCGACTTGTTTTTTCCTCTTAATACCTATTTGGTGTCATTAGTCACCATCAACTAAATGCATCCTCTGGGTGATGTGCAAATTCAACCCTGCTGCCAAAATTCCGGGGGAGAAGACACCTCACTGTAAGCAATTCCCCCCAGCAATTACCATGAGATCCCCAGCTTGTCTTTTACTCCCTTCCTCAGGGCAGGAGCTGTGTTAGTCGAGCAAGGGCAGCTGGGGCATGCATGGGGAAAAGGGCTACGGCTCCCAGCTCCCTCTACTTTGTATATCGCTGCCACCACAGCCTGCGCGGCTGCTCTTCCAGCAGATCAGTGCAATTGCCACATAGAGTGATTTAATTTAAACCTTACTTTTTGTATACACAAATCTTCCAGTAGAGCTGGAACAAAGAATTGTTGAACGCTTAAACTCACAGAAAAGGCAGAGACAGTAGAGTCTGTGTCTCTGTGTGAGTTTCAATATAAATGTAACAAAATATACACCAAAAATATAGCAAAACATTTTATCATACCATAGTTGCCTGGAAAGGCCTTTCATGACTAGTGTATGTGAAGCTCAGTTGGGAGATGCAGATATGCCCTTCCTTGCCAGCTCAGGAACTCCTTCCCCCCAGCCCTGTGTCTGCAGGTGTGCTCCTGAATCCACAGAGGCCACACACTTTTGCTCTGCTTTGGTCTCTCTCTCTCACAACTATGATTCCAATTTCTTTGCTGAGTAATAGAGAAATCTACTTCTTCCCATTTAGTGCTCTGATTTTCATACAGGGATGAGAGATCCTGTCCTGTTCAGTCAGCCTGGAAGTCTACAGCATTTGTATCTCTCTGTCCTCTCTACCTCTTTCTGGCAGAAAATTTCTGACTATTTCACAAAAAAATCTGCATGCAATTACCCCTATTTTCCTGAAAGGAGAGTATAGCATAATTTAATTCAGAGGTCTAACAATTTCAGATGTATTTACCTTCTGTGTGCCGCTCTTGTGCTGCCAGAGGTGGGTTCTGCCACTTCCCAGTTCAGGGGACAGGAATGAGTCCCGAGTCATTTGAGCAATCACGTTTCCTTTGGAACCAAGCAGTGTACCAGCTGACACGGTGCTGGTTGGCTTTCTTTCAGGGCCTGCTTATCTTTAACTCAGACAGAGATTAGAGAACTAATAAATAACCAATATATATGGGAAAAAAAGTAAGCATTCCAGGAATTACTTAAATGCTCATTCTAGTCTTTGTTCTTCAACGGCATCACAAAGGAATATTGAAGAGGAACAGAGGTGGATAAAGTCTTTAGCTTTTTGCTGAGAATTTTTTATGGATGAACTTTTGGTCAACTTCTGCCCCAAAAGATTTGACCTCCAACTAAGGTTTTACAGTAGGCCCAAAGAATCGCCTGAGCACATTGTGAAGTAGTAGATCAGAGTGGCCAAATCTGCTCTCAGTCAGGAGTATGGAATTTGCTTTGTCAGTTAAATCATATGTGTGTGAGCTCATGCCAAATGTTTTCCTGTGTTGTCTAGGTGTCAAGGGTTTCTATAATTAAAATACTTATCACTGAAATAAAAATATTTTTCTGGTTTATGTGCAATAATATGTCAGTAACACATCTCAACAAGTTTTTCTGGTTTCGGATTATATCAAAGTACATCTTTAAAGGTTAAAGGTGGTGAACTCTTGGACTTCATATGTGCAGTAAGAAGGCATTATATTCAGATAAAATGTGGTAGTGCTTCGGATCAGCTGTGAGCTGTAATTGCCTTGTATCTGACATGTGAGAGGACAAAAGCCTTTATTGATGATTTCTTTATCTTGAAATTTGTTTTATGGATTCTAACCCATTAAATTGTTCTTTGCCTGAAGTGGCTTTATATTTTTTAATGAAGCCATAAGAGTCTGTGGATTTTAAGGCTGATACAGCCATTAAGATAAGTTCAAAAGTCCTCTTCCTCTTCTACAAGGATATAAAAAAGGGGAGGACAATGAATATCACTGTGCTTAACCTGTTTTATCTATTTTTAGATTAAAAAAGAGGTGTGGTAAGAGTGTGGTAAGAGTGTGGTAAGACAACATCTAAAATGCAACAATGTTATTAATATAATTTTTGCCAAGGAAGAGAGAAAATGATTTTTCCTTTTTATGTAAAGCTCAGCTGTCTGATGTTGTAGATTTGCAAGACCAGTCAATGTGATGTGAGATTACTTCTTTTCTATCTTCCTAAATCGCTGTCTTTCTGCCTGTAGAAAAATAAAATCATGCCTGAGACATTTCTCACCATTACCTGCCTGCTGATCACATCACAGAGAAGGACATTTTGTTCCCCAGTTCTGAGTTGTGTTTTGTGAAGGATTACTTTTTAACTTAGATCAATACTCCAGGGAGTTCCCCACACAACAGATTGGTTGGGCAGAACAGCATAAAAATAAGCCAGAAAGGGCAGTAGGACTGGGTTTTTTTCAGCATTGAGTAAACCCTTATGGTGACAGATAAAGCGTGTTCTGTCTTTTCTCCTATCATTCTTCTCTTTTCTATTTTGTAATTCAATATCTATTTTGAATGATATATAAATGTCATAAAGGCAACATCTGCTGATCCTAAAGCTTGATTTCTAGCCTCAGATGCATTGCTCTGGGGAATCCAAAGGGCAACAAATATGGTCTCACACCAGCTTTCTCAGGGTCATCATTTGCCTTTGTGTGTTAGTATGAATCTGAATCAAAGTCTATCATCTGCAATAAATTGAACATAATTTCAATGTGTATAGTTTTTTGGGCATCACAACATTACAATATTAATAAGTTATATTCACTTACCTTTCAGGCGCTAGCTGCTCTTGGACAAAGTTCAGGATGAGACTATAGGGGAGGGGAAAGGTATTGAAGTTCATTTGTTGTGGAATATTATACATATTATCAAGTAAAGAAATTCATTACTAAAGAAATTCACAAAAAAAAATATTGATTTGTTAGAGAAACTTTTAGGCAATCTTCAAAATCAAGGTGTATTCTACTTGTTTGTATGCAACCATGGTCTTATTTAAAGCCAGTGAGATTAAAAGCAAATATGAGGGAAAAAGATGTAGTTTATCATAAGGAAAATGTCTGAAAAAGAGCTTCCAAAACTACAACAGACATTGGCATAAATCAGACATTTCAGTGGACGAACTGAGCTTTGTGAATGAGCTGACAAAAATTTTATTTCTATAATGTAGCTGGAAATTTATTTCCAGTTGTTTATGTTTAGCTTTTCCAAGACTTCCAATATGTCCATCCACTATGAATACCAAAGGGTGATGAAGCTGGAAAGCAGTCTACACCTGATCATTAATATCCCAGATGAAGTTGATGGGCAGATTCTCCATTTTCTTTTTCAGAACTTCATCAACCCTTTCACTCTGTGCTACTGTCATGATGTTTTTCCAGTCTCCAACAGTGCCTGGGGAAAGAGGCAGTTAAGGGAGGTGAGAAATAGAACATGTACCTGTCAAGCTGAGACTGGAAACCCTAAGTTCCTGACAAGATAAGAGACATGAAATAGTTACAGTGCTATCCTCCTTCAAATTTACCTTTGCGTAAAAAATGACCTTCTTTGTTCACTTGGAGGTTTTCTGACAGTATCTCATAGTTTGCCCTGGGATCTTTCTTCATGTTCTCAAACGTAGCCTGTCTCACAACGCTTTCCACTTCCTTTTCACTCAGCTTCCTGCCCAGGAAGTCGCAGATCTTCAGCACAGCACTTCGGAGATCCTACAATTAATGTTACATTGAAACTGTCTTGGTTATGCAAAGAGCCAAAGAGTAGAATAAAAGACATAAATATGGTTGCAAACCATTTTTGTGAGAGAGTAATCGTGCATCATGTCAGCAATTTGAAGCAGTGCTGTCTGAGATGGCAATTTTGCATTCTGTTCCACAAGGGATTAAGCATATCTCAATCAGAAATGTTATCACAGAGGCCAGTCTGAAGATAGAGAATATTTGGAATAGGGAGATATTAACTAATCTCACCTTTTTCATTTCTTCATAGGTAAGGAAGAGTATATTGAAGTCCTCCGCATGGCTGTACCAGCCTGTTACATGATCCAGCCACTTACCGCCAGGTACTTGAAAGGGAGATAATAGATTAAAAAAAAAAAGAAAAAAAAGGGAGAGAAACGCTATTAGCAGCAGAAACAGGCAGTAGATATATCATGTTTTGAGGACAAAAGGGTAAGATTCTTTGATTTCCATTGTCTTTTTTTGTTAACACTCAATGGGTAGCTGTGCTGAAAGAGGCACAGTTAGTTGGACATTTGCAGCAAATGGCAACAGGTTAAAATATAAATGTTTTGTTTTAACGTTCAACATGTTTTAACATTTAACATTTAGGTCTTTGAAAAAGGTGATTTTCAGATTATATTTTTCCTATTTTGAGTGTCTTTTTCTCATATACTAATACATGACCACAGTTTTTGGCTGACAATCCTCCATGTTGATTAGGATAACTGATCTACTTCTTGGTATCTGGAGAAGCTACCACAGAAAACTACGTCTCTATCTTCTCTGTATCATGACCATTCTTACAATTTCACAGTGGAAATTTTCTGTGTTCGTATGTATTTACATATAAAAAGCTACTTGCACTTTGATGAGGAGCAGCAAACATGGCTGAGGATTCTGAGTGGTTGATATTGATTGCTGTAAGTAATCTCTATTCAGACTGAAACTATGCAATGCGACTGGGGTTTTTAGCAAGCAACATATCTTACCTTGCCCAGCTAAAAATCTCTCCATGAAAAGGCTGAAATCTGATACTTCCTCTAATGCAGCTATGATTTTGGAAAAGTGGAAATATGAAACCAAAATATCCTTGGGGTTCCTGGTAACATAGATAACCTGCAAAAGAGAAAAGAACACTAGTCTGAAAAATACTGAAAAAGGGCTCCTTTTTCGCTCTCTCCTTATGTGGTTTTCTTTAACTGTCCTTACATAATAGGTGAGAAAACAACGTGGAGATGACAAACATGATAAGTAAATTCCAGATCATGCTACACCATCATTTTGTTTATAGTGGGTGACATCTCCCTGTGAAGTCCTTCAGTGCCCATGGATACCTATCTTCATGGGGTCAGGGTTACACGTGTCATTGCTACTGTTCATCTGGGCAAGGCTGTCAGCTGTGGAAGAACAGCACTAGAAATTCATATGAACTTCCCTGAAAGGATATTCAGGTGTTTTTTTTTTTTTTTGATTGTATGTTTGTCTGTTTGTTTGTTTTTTGACGAAATGAAAAAATCTTCCTGGTTGTTACATCTTAACGGCATCAGGAGCCTCAACTACAAGGATGTGAGGCAGACGCCAGAGGCAGCATGCAGGCACATTTTGGATGACAGCTGAAAAGAAGCCCCATGATCATACTTACACGAGCCCTTTTGTTTCTCAGGTCTCTTGGAGTTAAGTAGTAAGGCAGGTGAGTGGCAAAGACACGGGGTGAAGGAAGAGACGTATAATCCATATTTTTAACATTGTATTCCAGCCATGGCATTCTGTCCATGTTCTCTATGTTTTCTGTTCCATTCCTGTGGCCTTCATGAATTATTAAACTCAAAATATTCTGAGTCCACACAGTTCCTGAGAAGGAAAAATTTATTTGGACCCTGTTTGTTTTTCATTTCTTTCTTTCCTTACTCAGACCTAGTGTATATGGTCATAAATACAGCCTCTTCATAGATGTAAGTGAGATATAAGCACTCCTTAGCAGATCAAAGAGAGCAAACACTCTCTGGATCACTTCTGAGTGTGGAAGGGAAACATACTTTTGTTTTGTCACTGCAGAAATGTCATGTTCTCTACCTGAACCTTCTGTTTCTTTATCCACTATATTCAGCTTCTACATAAGTTCCATGTGTCCTCAAGCCCTGCAGCAAAGTGAATTCCTACATCTTTGTGGACCTCAGATCTAAAACTCTCTCCTGATGAAGGTCTCTAGAAAATACATTTTCTGCCAGAAATCCTGCCAGCTGTTGAGGGATGTCATGAAACCCACAGCTAGCAAAGGGATGTTTGTAAAGCACAGATGGGCCCCATAAAGCAGATGCTTGCAGCAACCAGATCCCTAGATTTGCTGAGGGAACACCTGACTCCTGGGCTATGGTGCCTAGCTGTGCTGGCAGTACAGGTTGTGTGCTGGGCGCTGATAGTGCAGGGTGAATGCTGAATAGGTGACTCATCTGGGCAATGAGAGGAACCATTTAGCCTTTTTAAAAGTGCACTGTGTGGCAGTACTGATTTCTTAGCTACTTTCTATACTATAGACCAGTAAATACAGACACCCGAGAGAATTTGAATCCATGCAGATGTCATTGTGTAGAGTAAGTTTGCTCTGAGTGCATCTATAGAGTTGAGATCCAAGAATGAGGAAGGTTCACATGGACATCACCAGGAGCCCCATGCCTGGCTCATCAGGACATGGCTCTGCCGGAGTGGTCTAAGAAACCTTAAATGAATTTCTACCTGTTCTTTTTTTTTTTCCCCTTTTTGTTAAGTTAGTAGGTTGTGGAGGGGGGAGGTTTCTCTCTCTCTCTTTTTTTTTTTCCTTGTGGGATTTTTTTTTCTCACCTGACTTTGGAAAAGTAACTAAAAATACATCACTGTCTCTGATTTCAAATGTCTCCAAGGAATCAATGTACTCAGGCGTAGTTATTTTTCCTGCGAAACAACATCCTTTGTGGTGGAGTATATAGTCTCTCGAGGGATCCATTGTGTGTCTTATAAATGGATAACCTGCAATATGGAATGGTCAGTTAAAACATAATATTTTAATGTCATTTTTATATACCCCAATCTTCCAATAGAGCTGGGACAAACAATACTCAAACAATTGAACTCACAGAAAAGACAGAGACAGTGGAGCTTTGTCTGTGAGCTTTTCAATATAAAAATAACAAAGCATACCCCAAATATATAACAAAACAGTATGCGATACCATAGCTGCTCAGAAAGCCCATTCATGACTAGCACACATGAAGGTCAGTTGGGAGATGCAGATATTCCTTGCCAGCCAGGACCTCTTTCCCCCCAGCCCAGTGTCTGCAGGTGTGCTCCTGAATCCACAGAGGCCACACACTTTCGCGCTGCCTCATTCTCTCTCTCTCTCTCACAACTATGACCCCAATTCCTTTGCTGAGTAATAGAGAAATCTACTTCTTCCCAATTTAGTGTTTCGATTTTTCCACACCAGCAATGAGAGATACTGTCCTGTTCAATCAGTCTGGAAACCTACAACAGTTGTATCTCTCTGTCCTCTCTACCTCTTTCTGACAGAAAATTTCAGATTATTTTATATAAAAGATCTGCATGCAATTATCCCTATTTTCCTGAAAGGAGAGTATAGCATAATTTAGCTCAGAGCTCTAACAATTTCAGATGTATTTACCTTCTGGGTGCCGCTCTTGTGCTGCCAGAGGTGGGTTCTGCCACTTCCCAGTTCAGGGGACAGGAATGAGCCCCGAGTCATTTGAGCAATCACGTTTCCTTTGGAACCAAGCAGTGTACCCGCTGACACAGTGCTGGTTGGCTCTCTCTCAGCAATTGCTTATCTCTAGCTCAGACAGAGGTTAGAGAACTAATAAATAACCAATATATGGGAAAAACGTAAGCATTCCAGGAATTACTTAAATGCTCATTCTAGTCTTTGTTCTTCAACAGCATCACTGAGGAATATTGGAGAGGAAGAGAAATGAAAAAAGTCTTTTGCTTTTTGCTGAGAATTTTTTATGGATGAGCTTTTGGTCAACTTCAATCCCAAAAGATTTGACCTCCAACTAAGGTTTTACAGTAGACCCAAAGAATCGCCTGAGCACATTATGAAGTAGTAGATCAGAGTGTTGAAATCTGCTCTCAGCCAGGAGTAGGGAATGGGCTTTGTCAGCTAAGTCATATGTGTGTGCGTTCATGCCAAGTGTTTTCCTGTGTTGTCTAGGTGTCAGGTGTTTTTTTATAACCAAAATAAATATTTATCACTGAAATAAAGCGTAGTCTATTCAAACTTTAGAAGTATCAGTCTGAACCTTATCTCCTGTCTGAAGAGCACTCTTTCTCATTGAATCTCTTTTGCAATGCCTTTTTAGTTTGTGTTGGTATCTTTTTTTCGTATTTTCCAATATCCCCTGCTCCCACCACACACTCCAATTCTCTCCAACGTTTTCCCTCAGAGATGCAGATTTTCAATACAGCATCACTCAGATCCTGCAGTGGATAGTGGTGGGAGTAGCATCCCATTATACCCCGTGTGATACTAGGTTTCTCAAAACATGTTGGCATTTCAGCTCTCTTTGGCACTTTGGTCAAGCAAAGTGCCAAAAGTCCTAGTTTAGAGACAGTGTCCGGATGAGAATGAATTAATGGAAACATTGTTCCTTGCTTAGCCTCCCCATTTTGAAACTCTTCTTCTTGGCGAGAGGTGTGGGGACCTTGCGGATTTTGGTCTTTAAAATCTTCACACACTTTCTCTGAAAATTCTCTCTGTTTTGCAACCTGTTAAACCTTTTCAAATAACAGAGGGTTGCTTCACGCTGAATTGGAACAAGGATCTGAACATTCAGGAACGAGGACAAGACTCTTCAACTCTTCACCATTAAGGCTTGCACACTCACAGTGTTTTATCATACTACTGACAGTCCATGTGAAAGTTGCACTTCTTTCCTCTTGCTCCCTGAATTGCACTTTATGTTTGAGGTTAAAGGCAAATGAGAAAATACTGTAATGCAAAAAAGCTGTCAATTTATATCGCTGTGGGAAAAATTCTTGTCTAAAATATTCATACAAAACAAATGAAATATTATGGAGAGCAGTACAGTCTTGCTTTTGAGGAAAGGAAGCAAAGAAGATAAAAGCCTTTATTGATGGCTTATTTATCTTGAAATTTGTTTTATGGATTCGAGCTCCTTTAACTCTTCTTTGCCTGCAGATGGTTCACATTTTTTAATCAAGATATAACAGTCTGGAGACAGTTGGAAAAAGTAAATTGGAGAAATGTTTGGAGAAAGTAAAAGGGGGACCCATGAAAATAAATTAAGAACCAGCTAGTGACATCAGCAAAAACGTGCTCTGTGGGACTCTCTTCCTTGCAGGATTGTTGCAACAGGCGATTCTATTCTTCATAGAATTTAAAGTCAAAATATTCTGATAGCACAGACTCACGTGCAGAAAATAAAGGCACCCAAAAATATTCTATAATGCTTTTTTTTTCTGTTTTATGGGCAATAGTATGTGATAAACACCTCTCTTAACAGGTACATCTTGTTCTGGTCAGGATTATATCTTTGAAAGTACATGTTTAAAGGTTAAAGGTGGTGAACTCTTGGGCTTCATGTGTGCGATGAGAAAGCAGTATGTTCAGATAAAGTGTGGTAGTGCTTCAGATCAGCTGTGAGCAGAAATTAACTTGCCTAGTATCTGACAAGTGTTATACCACCCGCTGCCTTGGTGGGGAACACTTGCAAACAGCTGCCTTTTTTTCCTCTGGTTCATCCCTGTGCAGGCATTTATCTCAGTGCCTAGCGTTTGTGGAACGGGTCACAGATACCTGACATATCTTCTGTTTAAGACATTTCAAAATACCCTTGGATTTAAGAGAGCCTGAAAAATATTGTGGTCCGACCATGGGCCCGTGTTAGATGTTAGTGATGATCAGAGCTCAGTGAAGCTCTTGAGACAGTCCAAGTGAAGGAGAGCACCACAAGGTACTACTGTTACACTCTGCTCTCCGCCACCAACCTAAAGGTAGAGCCTCAGCGGGGAAAGAGAGAATGGTCAAATCCTAAGAATACATGAAATTCCAAAATGAATAGGTGACAACTCATTCTTCAGTAACTCATCTGATTCCTCCCTAATTAAAACTGATGAGAATATGTGGTAAGAGAACATCTAAAATGCAACAATGTTATTAATATAATTTTTGCCAAGGAAGAGAGAAAATGATTTTTCCTTTTTATGTAAAGCTCAGCTGTCTGATGTTGTAGATTTGCAAGACCAGTCAACGTGATCTGAGTTTACTTCTTTTCTATCTTCCTAAATGGCTGTCTTTCTGCCTGCAGAAAAATAAAATCATGCCTGAGAATTTCTCACCATTACCTGCCTGCTGATCACATCACAGAGAAGGACATTTTGTTCCCCAGTTCTGAGTTGTGTATTGTGAAGGATTACTTTTTAACTTAGATCAATACTCCAGGGAGTCCCCCAATTTACACAGCAGATTGGTTGGGCAGAACAGCATAAAAATAAGCCAGAAAGGGCAGTAGGACTGTTTTTTTTTTCAGCATTGAGTAAACCCTTATGGTGACAGATAAAGCGTGTTCTGTCTTTTCTCCTATCATTCTTCTCTTTTCTATTTTGTAATTCAATATCTATTTTGAATGATATATAAATGTCATAAAGGCAACATCTGCTGATCCTAAAGCTTGATTTCTAGCCTCAGATGCATTGCTCTGGGGAATCCAAAGAGCAACACATATGGTCTCATATCAGCTTTCTCAGTGTCAGTGTTTGCACCTGCTTGTTTGTACGTATCTGAGTCAAAGTCTATCTACGGTTAATTGAATATAGTTTCAATTTGTATAGTTTTTTGGGCAACACGACATTACAACATTAATAGGTTATATTCAGGTGCTAGCTGCTGTTGGACAAAGTTCAGTGTGAGACTATAGGGGAGGGGAAAGGTATTGAAGTTGCTAGAATAGAACTTCAATATGACTAATTTTACGCACACTTCTTCCTTCCAAACTCACCCAGTCACAAGGGCCAAGGCATTTTTGTCCCAAGTGTTTAGCTGGAATCTCCTGGGAGGTCAAGGAGTTTGAGACACCATGGTTTCATCAGAAATCATGAGCATCTTTGTTGGCAACCCGGTGTTGGATTTGGTGTATGCCTTCTGTAACCCTTTGGATTTGAAAAAGATGGTGACCTTTGGCGTCTTCATTCTGACCCTTCTCTAGGAGTCATTAGAAACACAGAAACACCCCAGTCAAAAGGCACATTTGGAAATCCCTAGTCCAAACTCCTGCTCAAAGCAGTGCAATTCCTAAAGCTAATTCAGGTTGCCCAGAACTTCCTCCAATTGAGTTTTAAAAATCTCCAAGGACAGAGATCCCACAGCTGTGCTGAGTACCTGTTCCAGAGGATCGCTATATTCATTCTGATAATGTTTTCCTTACATCTCCTGAGAATTTCTTTTGCAAATATTTTTGACACGCCAACAAGTAAACTAACCTTTTCACAAGCTAACAAGTGTTTTTGACAAGCACAAGTAACCATGTGGCAAGACTCCAGGGTGCCATTCACATCTTCTCTTCTTAGACCCTTCTTCTGATTGTCTCCTCTGGAACTTTCACACCTGGACATTTCTGTTCATACTCATCTTAACTCTCATTTTACAAACCTCTACACTGCTAGCAACCTAAAGTTCCTGAAAGAAATCCTAAATTTCCCAATGCAAAAATATCCAAAGACAGGTCTCCTGCCTACCTGTACTCTAACATTAAAGCGTAAAGTGGATGCCAAAACTAGGCGGTTGAAATCCCAAAATAATTTCCATGTGTTACTATTAAATACATTTAACAAGACAGAGCAAGAAGGGCAATCTAAGACAGACCACTTCCACAGTCAGTTTAGGTATCTGCACATCTAAAGAGATTGATCCTCTGCCTCTTAAGGAAGAAAGAGCAAGGCTTGTAACAAACTCCTAGAGACCACAACAATGCCAAAGTACAACAAAACAGATTTGTCTGTGGAAGGTTCAGTGGTGATATAGTTTTATTTCTATATCCCCACTAATGCAATCAGCAGGATTCCAGCAGAGACACACTGCAACAAGCACTATTATCTGGGGATGTTATACCACGTTTTCTACTAAAGAAAGCCACAAAATAAACAGTTGATTTTTTTCAGAACATTTTTAGCAATGTTCAATATCAAGATCTATTCTTACTTGGTTGTCTACTACAATGGTTTATTTAAAGACAGTGAGCGTAAAAGCAAAAACAAAGGAATCAAGATGTAGATTACCACGGGGAAAATTAGCTAAAACATATTTGAAGCTTCAAACAGGAACCTGCTGTAACTGAGATGCTTATTTGGATGAGCTGTGCACTGTGAATGAGCTGATAGAACTTTTATTTCCATAATGCAGCTGGAAATTGATTTATTTTGTCCTTCCAGAACACACAATATGTCCATCCACTATGAACACCAAAGGGTGATGAGGCTGGAAAGCAGTCTACATCTGATCATTAATATCCCAGATGAATTTGATGGGCAGATTCTCCATTTTCTTCTTCAGAACTTCATCAACCCTTTCACTCTGTGCTACTGTCATGATGTTTTTCCAGTCTCCAATAGTGCCTGAGGAAAGAGGTAGTAAAGGAAGGTGAGAAGCCGGACATGCACCTGTCGAGAAGCCTGCCCTGCAAAGCAGTGAGAGCTATTTTGGGGAAGCACTTCATGCTTCCCTCAGAATTTCCCTTATCGCTGCTGTGCTGAGTGAGTCTCCATTTTTTTGACGGCCCGCTTCCAAACATTGGTGCTGTGTATCAAATGTATAGACCTATTAATGGAAACATCTTTTGTTTTGCTGTGAATACAGAGCTTTCTTTAATCCATAGGAGGTCTTATTCTACAGTGAACAGTAGAAAGTCTTAGTAATATTCAGGAGTTAAGGATGAAGTTCATGGAGCCTCAGTGTTGGTGCTCGGGAAGCTGGTGTTCAAGCTGTTAGTAGAAACCCTCACTTGAAAAGCAAAAACCAGTATGCATCTGTAAGAAGATCTCCAAGCTAGCATTTTTTTCAGTCTTAACTCAGAGGTGCTGAAACAAATATCTCTCTTGCTTTCAAAGATGCTCTCCTCTCCAGTGAAAGCCAGTTACTCATGCCTTGTCAGTAGTATGATGCCAGTAAGAAGGCATCCATCATATTACTCCTGACTCAGTACAAAATGCAGGTCATTTCCTTTATAAGATACAAGAGCATCAATTGGTGCTGCTCTTCGGAAAATATTGCCCTTTTATTTTCACCAGGATATTATAGGAAAATTGATGAACTCCTGGCCATAAAACTGTTCTGATATATTTAATTGTCCCTAGACTGAAGTCTTCCTCTGAAAATGGGTCTTTCTAGCTGAGACTAGAAACAAGGGAAAAGATATGAAATAGTTACAGTGCCACCTGCTCCAAATTTACCTTTCCGCAGAAAGTTAACCTTTTTGGCGTCTTTCAGGTATCCAGGCATTTTCTCGTAGTTTGCCCTGGGATCTTTCTTCATGTTATATTTAATTGTCCCTAGACTGAAGTCTTCCTCTGAAAATGGGTCTTTCTAGCTGAGACTAGAAACAAGGGAAAAGATATGAAATAGTTACAGTGCCACCTGCTCCAAATTTACCTTTCCGCAGAAAGTTAACCTTTTTGGCGTCTTTCAGGTATCCAGGCATTTTCTCGTAGTTTGCCCTGGGATCTTTCTTCATGTTCTCAAACGTAGCCTGTCTCACAACACTTTCCACTTCCTTTTCACTCAGCTTCCTGCCCAGGAAGTCGCAGATCTTCAGCACAGCACTTCGAAGATCCTACAATTAATGTTACATTGAAACTGTCTTGGTGATGCAAGGGACCAAACAGTAGAATGAAAGACACAAGTATGGGTGCAAAACATTTTTGTGAGAGAGTAATCATGCATCATTTGAGCAATTGAGAGCAGTGTGGGCAAGTGCTGAACATGAGGAGCACTGTGTTGCTCTCCCCTTTCTGCAGGGAGGAAGAAGGGCAGCCAGCTGACAGAAATAAGAAGTCACACAAAGGCATGGGGAGCAACTGGCAGGAAGTTGTGGTCAGCACTTTGAGAGCTCCTCAGGGAACCTCAGAGTTGCCTCTTAAGCACTTCTTTACTGGAACTGGCCTTATGAGCGTAACACTCCTATTGAACGTACCTTGTAAAAATCTTATTCTGTATTGTTTCAGAAGTTATTTTTGCCATGGTAGGGAGGCAGACTTCTGCCATACTGCAAAGTGCTTT